CCAGTGGGAAGGTGTCATGTAGTCTCCAGACTGTGTGCTCTTGTCCTGTACACCAGCTCCAGTGGGAAGGTGTCATGTAGTCTCCAGACTGTGTGCTCTTGTCCTGTACACCAGCTCCAGTGGGAAGGTGTCATGTAGTCTCCAGACTGTGTGCTCCTGTCCCGTACACCAGCTCCAGTGGGAAGGTGTCATGTAGTCTCCAGACTGTGTTTTCCTGTCCTGTACACCAGCTCCAGTAGGAAGGTGTCATGTAGTCTCCAGACTGTGTGCTCCTGTCCCGTAGACCAGCTCCAGTAGGAAGGTGTCATGTAGTCTCCAGACTGTGTGCTCCTGTCCCGTACACCAGCTCCAGTGGGAAGGTGTCATGTAGTCTCCAGACTGTGTTTTCCTGTCCTGTACACCAGCTCCAGTAGGAAGGGGTCATGTAGTCTCCAGACTGTGTGCTCCTGTCCCGTACACCAGCTCCAGTAGGAAGGTGTCATGTAGTCTCCAGACTGTGTGCTCCTGTCCCGTACACCAGCTCCAGTGGGAAGGTGTCATGTAGTCTCCAGACTGTGTTTTCCTGTCCTGTACACCAGCTCCAGTAGGAAGGTGTCATGTAGTCTCCAGACTGTGTGCTCCTGTCCCGTACACCAGCTCCAGTAGGAAGGTGTCATGTAGTCTCCAGACTGTGTGCTCCTGTCCCGTACACCAGCTCCAGTAGGAAGGTGTCATGTAGTCTCCAGACTGTGTGCTCCTGTCCTGTACACCAGCTCCAGTAGGAAGGTGTCATGTAGTCTCCAGACTGTGTTCTCCTGTCCTGTACACCAGCTCCAGTAGGAAGGTGTCATGTAGTCTCCAGACTGTGTTCTCCTGTCCTGTACACCAGCTCCAGTAGGAAGGTGTCATGTAGTCTCCAGACTGTGTTTTCCTGTCCTGTACACCAGCTCCAGTAGGAAGGTGTCATGTAGTCTCCAGACTGTGTGCTCCTGTCCCGTACACCAGCTCCAGTAGGAAGGTGTCATGTAGTCTCCAGACTGTGTGCTCCTGTCCCGTACACCAGCTCCAGTAGGAAGGTGTAATGTAGTCTCCAGACTGTGTTCTCCTGTCCTGTACACCAGCTCCAGTGGGAAGGTGTCATGTAGTCTCCAGACTGTGTTCTCTTGTCCTGTACACCAGCTCCAGTAGGAAGGTGTCATGTAGTCTCCAGACTGTGTTTTCCTGTCCTGTACACCAGCTCCAGTAGGAAGGTGTCATGTAGTCTCCAGACTGTGTGCTCCTGTCCCGTACACCAGCTCCAGTAGGAAGGTGTCATGTAGTCTCCAGACTGTGTGCTCCTGTCCCGTACACCAGCTCCAGTAGGAAGGTGTAATGTAGTCTCCAGACTGTGTTCTCCTGTCCTGTACACCAGCTCCAGTAGGAAGGTGTCATGTAGTCTCCAGACTGTGTTCTCCTGTCCTGTACACCAGCTCCAGTAGGAAGGTGTCATGTAGTCTCCAGACTGTGTTCTCTTGTCCTGTACACCAGCTCCAGTAGGAAGGTGTCATGTAGTCTCCAGACTGTGTTCTCCTGTCCTGTACACCAGCTCCAGTAGGAAGGTGTCATGTAGTCTCCAGACTGTGTTCTCCTGTCCCGTACACCAGCTCCAGTGGGAAGGTGTCATGTAGTCTCCAGACTGTGTTTTCCTGTCCTGTACACCAGCTCCAGTAGGAAGGTGTCATGTAGTCTCCAGACTGTGTGCTCCTGTCCCGTACACCAGCTCCAGTGGGAAGGTGTCATGTAGTCTCCAGACTGTGTGCTCTTGTCCTGTACACCAGCTCCAGTAGGAAGGTGTCATGTAGTCTCCAGACTGTGTTCTCCTGTCCTGTACACCAGCTCCAGTAGGAAGGTGTCATGTAGTCTCCAGACTGTGTTCTCTTGTCCTGTACACCAGCTCCAGTAGGAAGGTGTAATGTAGTCTCCAGACTGTGTGCTCCTGTCCTGTACACCAGCTCCAGTAGGAAGGTGTAATGTAGTCTCCAGACTGTGTTCTCTTGTCCTGTACACCAGCTCCAGTAGGAAGGTGTAATGTAGTCTCCAGACTGTGTGCTCCTGTCCTGTACACCAGCTCCAGTAGGAAGGTGTAATGTAGTCTCCAGACTGTGTTCTCTTGTCCTGTACACCAGCTCCAGTAGGAAGGTGTCATGTAGTCTCCAGACTGTGTTCTCTTGTCCTGTACACCAGCTCCAGTGGGAAGGTGTCATGTAGTCTCCAGACTGTGTTTTCCTGTCCTGTACACCAGCTCCAGTAGGAAGGTGTCATGTAGTCTCCAGACTGTGTGCTCCTGTCCCGTACACCAGCTCCAGTAGGAAGGTGTCATGTAGTCTCCAGACTGTGTTCTCCTGTCCCGTACACCAGCTCCAGTAGGAAGGTGTCATGTAGTCTCCAGACTGTGTTTTCCTGTCCTGTACACCAGCTCCAGTGGGAAGGTGTCATGTAGTCTCCAGACTGTGTTTTCCTGTCCTGTACACCAGCTCCAGTAGGAAGGTGTCATGTAGTCTCCAGACTGTGTGCTCCTGTCCCGTACACCAGCTCCAGTAGGAAGGTGTCATGTAGTCTCCAGACTGTGTGCTCTTGTCCTGTACACCAGCTCCAGTAGGAAGGTGTAATGTAGTCTCCAGACTGTGTTTTCCTGTCCTGTACACCAGCTCCAGTAGGAAGGTGTCATGTAGTCTCCAGACTGTGTGCTCCTGTCCCGTACACCAGCTCCAGTGGGAAGGTGTCATGTAGTCTCCAGACTGTGTTTTCCTGTCCTGTACACCAGCTCCAGTGGGAAGGTGTCATGTAGTCTCCAGACTGTGTTCTCTTGTCCTGTACACCAGCTCCAGTGGGAAGGTGTCATGTAGTCTCCAGACTGTGTTCTCTTGTCCTGTACACCAGCTCCAGTAGGAAGGTGTAATGTAGTCTCCAGACTGTGTTCTCTTGTCCTGTACACCAGCTCCAGTGGGAAGGTGTAATGTAGTCTCCAGACTGTGTTCTCTTGTCCTGTACACCAGCTCCAGTAGGAAGGTGTCATGTAGTCTCCAGACTGTGTGCTCTTGTCCTGTACACCAGCTCCAGTGGGAAGGTGTCATGTAGTCTCCAGACTGTGTTCTTTTGTCCTGTACACCAGCTCCAGTAGGAAGGTGTAATGTAGTCTCCAGACTGTGTTCTCTTGTCCTGTACACCAGCTCCAGTGGGAAGGTGTAATGTAGTCTCCAGACTGTGTTCTCTTGTCCTGTACACCAGCTCCAGTAGGAAGGTGTAATGTAGTCTCCAGACTGTGTTCTCTTGTCCTGTACACCAGCTCCAGTGGGAAGGTGTCATGTAGTCTCCAGACTGTGTTCTCTTGTCCTGTACACCAGCTCCAGTGGGAAGGTGTCATGTAGTCTCCAGACTGTGTGCTCTTGTCCTGTACACCAGCTCCAGTAGGAAGGTGTCATGTAGTCTCCAGACTGTGTGCTCTTGTCCTGTACACCAGCTCCAGTGGGAAGGTGTCATGTAGTCTCCAGACTGTGTTCTCCTGTCCCGTACACCAGCTCCAGTAGGAAGGTGTAATGTAGTCTCCAGACTGTGTTCTCTTGTCCTGTACACCAGCTCCAGTGGGAAGGTGTAATGTAGTCTCCAGACGGTGTGCTCTTGTCCTGTACACCAGCTCCAGTAGGAAGGTGTAATGTAATCTCCAGACTGTGTTCTCCTGTCCTGTACACCAGTTCGTGTAGGAAGGTGTAGTGTAGTCTCCAGACTGTGTGCATAGGTTCCTGTCCTGCAAGCTGCCCATGGTATATATGACAAGAGTTCTCTAGAGAGGGTACCAAGTTAACAGCAAACCAAACAGATATAAAAGTCTTTCACTTTAACAACAAAGATATCTATCACAATTTTACACAAAATATTGGAAACAACTTAAGATTGTCTTCTACATCACTATCACGTTGGCAAGTGTGCATATATAAAACAAGGGCACAAACTTTATTACAAAGGTCACAAACACCATGAAGAAGAAAACACAACTCATCATAACATTAATTATCATATTAAATATACCTGAACCAAGTATAGGAGGTCATGTCTTAACCCTGCTTGTTAATATGGTGCATGAAAGACAAACTGACTAAATACTTATTGTGAAAGGGCTTTTCTTCAGCAAAACTCTATTCTTATCACATACATTGTAGGACATGAAAACTACAAACACTACCTTACTTTTCAACAAAACGTCAGAAATACTTTTCAGCTAAATCATGTTGATTATTGGCATAAAATTATCATAGAATGTAAATGCAAATTCACTGTATATATAGTTTTATAAATAAGAGTCAAGACAAAGACATTCTTCACATTTGTTTATGTTAGAGTGAGTGCACATAACAGCTTATTGTGAACATTCCATGTAATACTGTAGCCTCATTTTGTATGTGTAATTCAACATCACAAATTGCACTTGGTCACGGAGCACCAAAGACAGTATTCTCGCCAAACTGAAACATGCCATAACTTCTACACTTCGTTCAAACAACAAAGGGACTTTCCCTCCTGCTGTCATGGAACAGCCGACAGAGAAGGACCAGATGAGAAGCAGAGGATGAAACTCATATGTTAATCAATCTCATTAAAATCAGATCTTAGTTTTTGCTACTGCTAAACAAAGATCTAAGGACATCCCATTAAGGGTCACGTCAGAACGCCCTTTCGCAAACCTTGAACGATCAATGAAATGACTGACAAGAAATCGACATTAGCCAATCTGAAGGCAGCTTTCTCGAGCTTTACAACACTAGTTTCAAACTGGCGCCTACTCTTCGAAACATATTTTGACGTATTCTCGATTAAAAAAATTAAAGCTGATAAAAAGAACATTCTAGAATGCCTTACAGATGGCCTAGATTGTATGGATATAATCATAAAACCGGTAACTATCGTTCGGAATACCCTCTATAAAATATTTCGAGGTTACATGATTAGAAAACACATTCCGGCTGTCACTTTCATGATCTGGTAAGCAACACTCTGATTGGTTGGATGAAAGTTCATTCTGCATGACCCGTAATGGGATGTCCTCAGATCTTTGTTTAGCAATAGCGAGAACTAAGATCTGATTTTAATGAGATTGCATGTTAATCAACATGGGATCAAACAGGTTTATGTGTTTTGTCTTTAAGCTGCATTTAGAAGTTCCAACAGTTGTGTGTTTGAGTGTATTTACTTTCTAGTAAAATCAAAATATGGTTAAGATTTTAAGATTAAGAAAAATACAATAAGAAATTAAACACATTGAGGAAACAAATTAGAAGTGCGGTTTTGGCATGTTGAAGTTTTGGGAGGATACCCCAAAGAAAGAACACAGAATTCCACTAGGTTGAGATCAGTCACACACATCAATATTTACAGGATGATTTAAATGTATGATTCTGTCTAATAGTATCACATTGTGTACAAGAAGTGTTATCATCAATGATGTGTTGTGCCATATATCCAGTATACAATATCACATCACTAAAACAGCCAACACTTCTTGTAAATGAAGAAGAAAGTTGTTTTCACACAAGTGGAATATAATTACATTATTTGGAAGAGTCTTGTTACTTCTTGGCTTGTGTGTTGTACTGTGCTCCACGGCGTTGAGCCAGACACGGTAGAGACACTGTACTTAGTGCCATGTGTGGAACTTGGACACTGTCAGTAACGTAGTCCTTCATTCACTGCTATATCAATATGCATGATGACAAGTGGCAAACTAGCTCGACTGTCTATCCACACAGTCAAAGTTGATTCAGATGAGAAGTGTTGAAGTAACTTGATACTATAAGTACTATTCATGGAACACACGGAACAGAATGTGTTTCTAAAATACACAATTGAACATTGAATGTGTAAGACTATTTTACATTTTTAAAAGAATGATACAACTCCACAGGATATATTTCCAACCAGTATTACTCTCCTACATGTAGGCACATTGAGGATTTCCTGAAGAGACCAAATAACTGCATCCACATGCAATGAATATTCAAAACCTCCTACACACTTAATGTGTTGATATAAATGCAAGAAAACACATGTGATAGAGGTTTATATATATGTATATATGTGCATATTTTATACATGCTAAATGTGTTCTCGTGGCAAAAGTGGTAAATTTATCAAGTAAAAATAACCTATGATTTTTCTAAATGAAGCAAAATCTTAAATTCCTGCAAACAGAAAAGTTTTCTATCCAAATTCAATTATATATCTGCACATCTTTAAAGTTGAAATGGGAAAACGGTAATCCCAGGTGTTTCTACTTCTCTATGTCTGAGATATCTGGCATGGTGAAGGCTGTTTCCAGGATCGGTACCAGTGTATCTAGATTGGTCATGGAGTACTCACGGCGTCTCAGTCCCCAGCCATCAAAGTCAAGGTTATTGGTTGATGCACTTCGCTGGTTTTCACTCAGGTCACATGATCGGTTAAGACTACCCGTGCTCCGAGCGGGTCGCAAGGACGGCATGACCCGCTGTGGCAAGCGTGACCTTGATGATGCTCCTCTCGGACCCGGGGATGGAGACAAACTAAGTCTACTTCTCGAATCAATGGGCCTGGGGCTGCAGTAGGACATTTGTAGGTGCCTTGAGGTTGTCGGTGGGGGTCGGGATGGGGTGGCCTGTTTAGGGGGTAGTGATTGTTGAAGCCTTGAGGATGTCGGTGGGGGTCGGGATGGGGTGGCCTGTTTAGGGGGTAGTGATTCATGTGACCTTGAATTGGAATGAGTAGACTGTGGTCTCGATTCTTTGTCCGTTTTTCCAGACATTTTTGGAGGTGACCTTTGTGACCTTGGCATACTGTCCTTGGCTGACTGAGACCTTGAACCAGCTGACCTGAAAGGTAAGCTGGGTCTTGGTGGCGATCTCCTTGACAGGTCAGAAGACCTGACCTTGACCTTATCTCTAGGTGATGACCTTCCTGGTGATGGCAGGGGTAGAGCTGGTCTGTCTGGTGTTTTTCTTACTTGATTTGATGTCCTGAACTGGGCACTGTCCTGGGATTTGTCAAACCTAGCTGACCTGTTGCTATCCGGTCTGGGATTGTTTCTTGTTTTGTGACCATCCCTGTTTCCCTGAACAGAAGGAATGGAATGCAATGAAAATATCTGTATCTAATTCATGCCTTTCCGTACACAGATTCTAAATTCTTAATAAGCATAAAATATCTTAAATCAGATACATGGTGTTACAACATATTCAGCCAGCGAAAGTATTTCTCTGGAATATCCTAAGTCTGAAAAATGTAATGTATTATTTTCCTGAAACACAGATCTTGGACAGTTGAGACACCATTTGTCATAGCTGGTGACTGTGTGAAACCCACCTTCTTGTTAGAGAGGAGTGGTGGTTGTGTCATGGCTGTAAGATCCTGTTCTATACACACATATGAGGCACCTACAATATAAAATTCAATATACAGTGTGACTCTTGAAACCACTGCAGTATATCTAAATGGAATATACAATATATGAGAATGGAATGTTGGATACATTAACAAAACTCCCAACTACCCATCTATAATCTCATATGCCTGGTGTTTCTGCAATAGTGAGCAATAATACAGAGGCTGCCCAGTGAAGGAAGCAGACATTGTCAAGGCAAGGCACATATAGCCAGCTGACAGTTGGTTGTGACCTGTCAAGGCAAGCCACATATAGCCAGCTGACAGTTGGTTGTGACCTGTCAAGGCAAGCCACATATAGCCAGCTGACAGTTGGTTGTGACCTGTCAAGGCAAGCCACATATAGCCAGCTGACAGTTGGTTGTGACCTGTCAAGGCAAGCCACATATAGCCAGCTGACAGTTGGTTGTGACCTGTCAAGGCAAGCCACATATAGCCAGCTGACAGTTGGTTGTGACCTGTCAAGACAAGCCACATATAGCCAGCTGATAGTTGGTTGTGACCTGTCAAGACAAGCCACATATAGCCAGGACAGTTGGTTGTGACCTGTCAAGGCAAGCCACATATAGCCAGCTGACAGTTGGTTGTGACCTGTCCAATAACTGAGATCTGGTCTCCTAGACAGTGACATGCCCAGGCAGTTTGATATTAGGTAGCTTTATCGATCCTCCCTTACAATCCTCACCCACCATTTTCACAGGAAACTATCAGTTTAGTCACAAATGGAATCCATACGGGAATGGAAACATGAAAGTTGGTAGAAAGTGTGAAACTAACTTTTGAGAATCCTTTCCCTGATGTCCGCTGGCAGGTTTCTCCAATCGGGGGACAGCGTCACCTGGTGGATGTAGTGCTTCATGTACGTCTCGCTGTACGAGATGAGTGTACTCAGCAAGGCCTGCATGTCCTGCACACACAACAGTAGACTACAGAGGGAGATCCACACTGGCACCACCCACTTAACATTAGGATGTCACATGTTTACTTTGACCTGTCCATTTCTATTCACAACCCTGAAAAACTTGCAATCGCGTATGGAAGGAAAACCGTGGTTGCGGGTACTTTTGCTATAATCTTATATTTTGTGCTAGATGAATTGAACATATGATCAGGTTTCAGAAATCTATTGGGCTCAAAACAATGTTTGCCCAATTTGGGTGGCCATCTTGGATTTCAAAATGGCCACAGAAAGTCCTGTGCCTGTTACGTCAATAGCAAAGACAAAAGCACTTCAAGTTTAATAACATAACTTCCGGTGGCATGGTTAGGACAATCAAATATGGTAGTGGCGCATTTCAAATTCAGCAAACACATTCATCTAAAAGAAGTACAATTGAACTCCAGTGACTGAATAGAAGGATAACACAGCCATATTAAGGGAACTGGGTGGTTACTTTAGAACTACGGAAATAGTATGTAACATCATAACTTCTCCTCTGTAGATTCCATTGCAGAATAAAAGTAATATTTTTTGCCTTGAATAAGTTTTCCTTACATATTTATTATTTATGGTTATTGGTTACAGTAAACACAGTAAAAGCTATCAATATAAAAAAAATTGCAATTAAACATAAATATTTTTAAACATATTGTATACAACATATATATAAGTGCCTCAAATAAGCAAAACCTATAGTAAAAAACATATTTCTATGTAAGATATACCCATTTTAATGAAAAATAACCTAAATTTGGCACCAAAAATGTCAGGAAAATATTTGGGGCATAATCATGCTAATTAAATTTTTTAACCCAATGATATGAAGATTTGATGAAACAAAAAAACAAAGTTAACATTGTCCTACACCAGGAGTTCCGAAACGGTCACATGCGCCGGACATGTCTGATTGGGAATCTTAAATGTCCAGTTTAAAATTTTGCTTACCGGACATTTAAATTTTTCTTGATCGGACATGATCTACGGTTAGGACTGAGCAGTTTCTGTCTGCAGTTGTAACACAATAAAAATGATCTACACTGACACTTTACGAATAGACCCCGGTGTTTGTCATCATGCTTCATAGTCAACACAATGTCAGTTCTGCAAGTCTGCTCAGTTTTAAACAAAATGTACAGGTTCTTAATTTAACCAGTGTATACAGATTGAATTGGGTCCTTACCCAGCAACATTATTTGCATAACTACCTCACAATCCTACACGACCTTTGACCTGGTCACTATTCCATGTGACTGACCACAAAACTTATCTGTCTTTCAAGAAGAAGAACCATATTTGGCCAAAATCCATTACAAAATTGGTTCACATTTTCAACAAGAAATTATAACAAGGCAATCTGATGACAAAGAATGCAATGCCATTGTATACATGTTTGATGTATTTACCAGCAGGACCAATATGTCGTTGGGCTTTACAACATGTTTATCAATGTTTGGGCAGTTTATTATGGCAGGGACTCAAGTGATGGACTAACTGAACATGGGTCTTGGGCGTGACAAAATCCCCACTTTAACCACTAGTCTACCTACACCCCTGAGTATACAGATACAGAGGTATGGCGCCAGTATGAAGGAACAGCAGTGTATCTGTAAACACTGTGACGAGGAACACAAGACGACCACTGGTAACAGTACGCACCTCTCCCCATGGACACTCCTGCTCGATGGAGTGTTCGTGAAGCATGAGCAGGGCGCGATAGGCTTCACACGCTTTCTGTGGCGCAAGGGCATCGATCACGTTGCTGAAGATGTCCTCCAACACACTCACGCTCCATGCAGCATTCTGATGTAAGAAAATGTCTCACTCAACAAATATATTAAAAAAATGCATTTGATGATAATCATCCTAACTTTTATGGAGTTACTATAGCAACGGCCAAGCGTGCAAAGAGATGATGGACACATTTTTACAGCTCATTACTTCAGGTGTCACCCTCAATATTCACACAGGTAATGTGAGCTCTGTGATATGAATAACTTGCCAGCTTCTATTATGCCACTTGCTGCCCTAGCATACGTTTCATTGATTAGACAGTCGTCTGGTTGAATGCAAGGGATGTTCTCAGAATGTTAGAAAGATTGGAAACCTATCATCACAGCCTGACTTAGTTTGAGGTAACTAATTTTTTTAATCATTCACATGCCAACAATGGGCATTAGGTTCTATAATGCCGGACTCCTAGTGTATCGAGGTCATCATGGTGATCACACTTGTCTGATTGCTATTCCACTGATACCATGCTACTGAACTGTCTTCAGAACTAAAGATTTATATACTGTCGATGACCTGTGAATATAAGGGCTAGAATAGGTCTTCAACAACCCATGCTTGCCTTAAAAGGCAACTATGCTTGTCATAAGAGGTGCCTAACAGGATTGGGTGGTCAGGCTCACTGACTTTAATAATGCATGTCATCATATCCCAATTGCATGGATCGATGCTCATAATGTCAATCACTGGATCATCTGGTCCAAGCTCGATTATTTATAGACCACTGTCATATAGCTGGAATATTGCTCCATCACAGGAGCCTCTGTGATAGTTACCTTCCCAGAAGGAGCTGATACACTAGGGGCAGCTAACCTCCATCACACGGACCTCTGTCATAGTTACCTTCCCAGAAGTAGCTGATACACTAGGAGCAGCTAACCTCCATCACATGGACCTCTGTCATAGTTACCTTCCCAGAAGGAGCTGATACACTAGGGGCAGCTAACCTCCATCACACAGACCTCTGTCATAGTTACCTTCCCAGAAGAAGCTGATACACTAGGGGCAGCTAACCTCCATCACACAGACCTCTGTCATAGTTACCTTCCCAGAAGAAGCTGATACACTAGGGGCAGCTAACCTCCATCACACAGACCTGTCATAGTTACCTTCCCAGAAGACAGGAACCTCTGAGATCGCACCACGGTTACAAAGTGTTGACTTGTGAAGTCAATGGAACAGTCCATAAGCTTGGAGGTGAGCTCCAGCACTGGTTCTGCCCACTTTACCCTGGGCAGCTTGCTCGTCAGCTTGTGGCACTCCAGGATTGTGTCTATCACAGTTTGATCCGTCTGCAAGAAAAACATCAGGAGCTTAGTATTTTGCATGTATCTACACATGATAAAGAATCTTGAACTGTGTACACCTACCAGCTGTTCAATAATCAAGTCTCCACACATCTCCAGCACTGAGTCAAGCATTCCTGCAAACTGTGTACACCTACCAGCTGTTCCATCATCAAGTCTCCACACATCTCCAGCACCGAGTCAAGCATTCCTGCAAACTGTGTACACCTACCAGCTGTTCAATCATGAAGTCTCCACACATCTCCAGCACTGAGTCAGGCATTCCTGCAAACTGCTTTGTGGCTACAATCTTGGTGAAGAACTTGTTCATCCACTTGAAGGTGCGGTCCTTCACCTCCTCCAGCCTGTAGGTGACGGAGAGAGTCAGGGCGTGGGCTGCTGTGGCTGCACAAGTAGGGCATGGCTGGAAGGACAAGAAACGAGGCAGTCAACTCATCGTATCTCAACATGCTGACTATCTGAGAGAAACACTTCTGTCCTGGCCCCTTCACTATAGGGTCAACTGAGAATCTAACATGGGTAACGCCTATCATCATGAAATGGTAACACACGCCCCCCTTCTGGTGCGTACTCCTTATGTATTGTGAAATTGAGGACTGTACAACATGTACAATGCATGGATTCTTCATTTACAATTCTACAATTTTGAATTTTAAATTTTGAAAATTAAATGTGACCTTTTCGCCATGTTTGCTGGAGCTCATGACAATAGTTACTGTTACTGCATAATAATTGTTGTTATGCATACACAAATTGTAGTCACACAAAACACCCACCTTATGGTAGAAGTGACAGCTGTCCTTGACAAGGTAGAACAACGTGTGTCCACACAAAACACCCACCTTATGGTAGAAGTGACAGCTGTCCTTGACAAGGTAGAACAACGTGTGTCCACACAAAACACCCACCTTATGGTAGAAGTGACAGCTGTACTTCTTGACATGATAGAACAACGTGGGTCCACACAAAACACCCACCTTATGGTAGAAGTGACAGCTGTCCTTGACAAGGTAGAACAACGTGTGTCCACACAAAACACCCACCTTATGGTAGAAGTGACAGCTGTCCTTGACAAGGTAGAACAACGTGTGTCCACACAAAACACCCACCTTATGGTAGAAGTGACAGCTGTCCTTGACAAGGTAGAACAACGTGTGTCCACACAAAACACCCACCTTATGGTAGAAGTGACAGCTGTACTTCTTGACATGATAGAACAACGTGGGTCCACACAAAACACCCACCTTATGGTAGAAGTGACAGCTGTCCTCCTTGACATGATAGAACAACGTGTGTCCACACAAAACACCACCTTATGGTAGAAGTGACAGCTGTCCTCCTTGACATGATAGAACAACGTGTGTCCACGCAAAACACCCACCTTATGGTAGAAGTGACAGCTGTCCTTCTTGGCGTGATAGAACAACGTGTGTCCACACAAAACACCCACCTTATGGTAGAAGTGACAGCTGTCCTCCTTGACATGATAGAACAACGTGTGTCCACACAAAACACCCACCTTATGGTAGAAGTGACAGCTGTCCTTCTTGACATGATAGAACAACGTGTGTCCACACAAAACACCCACCTTATGGTAGAAGTGACAGCTGTCCTCCTTGACATGATAGAACAACGTGTGTCCACACAAAACACCCACCTTATGGCAGAAGTGACAGCTGTCCTTGACAAGGTAGAACAACGTGGCTCCACACAAAACACCCACCTTATGGTAGAAGTGACAGCTGTCCTTCTTGACATGATAGAATAACGTGTGTCCACACAAAACACCCACCTTATGGTAGAAGTGACAGCTGTCCTTCTTGGCGTGATAGAACAACGTGTGTCCACACAAAACACCCACCTTATGGTAGAAGTGACAGCTGTCCTTGACAAGGTAGAACAACGTGGGTCCACACAAAACACCCACCTCATGGTAGAAGTGACAGCTGTTCTTGACAAGGTAGAACAACGTGGGTCCACACAAAACACCCACCTTATGGTAGAAGTGACAGCTGTCCTTGACAAGGTAGAACAACGTGTGTCCACACAAAACACCCACCTTATGGTAGAAGTGACAGCTGTCCTCCTTGACATGATAGAACAACGTGTGTCCACACAAAACACCCACCTTATGGCAGAAGTGACAGCTGTCCTTGACAAGGTAGAACAACGTGGCTCCACACAAAACACCCACCTTATGGTAGAAGTGACAGCTGTCCTTCTTGACATGATAGAATAACGTGTGTCCACACAAAACACCCACCTTATGGTAGAAGTGACAGCTGTCCTTCTTGGCGTGATAGAACAACGTGTGTCCACACAAAACACCCACCTTATGGTAGAAGTGACAGCTGTCCTTGACAAGGTAGAACAACGTGGGTCCACACAAAACACCCACCTCATGGTAGAAGTGACAGCTGTTCTTGACAAGGTAGAACAACGTGGGTCCACACAAAACACCCACCTTATGGTAGAAGTGACAGCTGTCCTTGACAAGGTAGAACAACGTGTGTCCACACAAAACACCCACCTTATGGTAGAAGTGACAGCTGTCCTTCTTGACATGGTAGCAGACAACATCCTTGAGTCCCTCCAGGCCATACATGTCGGCCACCTGGATTAGTTCTGTCAGCTCACACGGCTCGATGATGTCAATGACCCCTCCATACAAGTACAGGAGGGCCTGCTCTACAGCACAGGGCGTCACACTGGAACACGAACACACCAGCTGATTACAGAGCAACTCTGTTTTAGACTTAGACTTTTAGATCATGGTTCATTTGGAACACATATTTTTGTTCATGAAAACATAAGAAAAATGTGGCAAAATCTATTGGCCTTTTTGTCCTGCAATGTGGAATTCTAGGACACACCACATACAGCACTAAACATACTTAATGGCTCACCCCTCAAGCATCACTTTATGGGCACCACTCTCTGACCACAGTCCCCCAAACATGGCACTGAAGTACCTGCTCCGGGCAGCCAGGAGGTATCTACAGCAGAGCATACCACAACAGATCATTCAAGCAGATCATTCAAGTCTACAAGCACAATGCATGCTTACTAATGTACTAGCATTAAAACCAGAGACTTTTCATTAATTTATTTATAACACTGCTTGACTACAATAAAGATGAGATTAGAAGAAAAATAAAGATTTCTGGCAAATACGATAACTTGACCTGAACCAGTGTATTGTTTCCAACATCCCGACATCACTGTTGACCTCATTCAAATCTTATTGTGACATCACACTTGAAATGATGTCATAGCTGAAGATTGTTGACCTCATTCGACAATTTTGGTTTTCGAAAACGCAGTTATGATCAGTGCATTTTTCTAATGGGATTTTTCTAAAAAGGATTAAGAAATAATGGGTAATAAAGAAATTATTACTTGCATGTGTGTCACACTGATTTTCGGAAACAATGGTAAGAATTCATGTATTACCCTCGCTTTCTCTCAGGAAATACAAGAATTCTGAAACTCGATTCGTAAACATCAGTATGACATGTATGCTCATATGATAATATCTAAATACCATACTAGTGTTTCCTTACTTGTGTGCCTTGAACTCATGCCCTGCCACGACCAATGTGGTGTCCCAGCCAATCTCCTGCAGAAACATCCGGAGTAGGTCCGTGCCTAGTCTGCTGCATGTCTCATGGGGTAGGGGCACACTGTAGGGCTGGTCGGTGGGGCCCTGGGACTCGCCTAACACTCGACAATACACAGTCTCACTAGAGATTCCATTTGTTGAGTCGTCCAGCTTGCTGTTGTTCACTTGTTCCTGAAGGTTATTGCGAGTGTCAGGTACTGCTGCGTGACATTTCGACTCACTGTCCGTCAGGTTAGCACTGTCACTGGAACTGCCAGTGGGTGAAGCTTGCTTCAAAGGCACTTCGTCTGGGATGATCTCCTCATTAAGAATGGTAGCCTGAATTAAAACAACCAACATATAGTTTCGGCCACACATGACAAAATAAACAGTTATTAAAGAATAACAGACAATATTTATAATTATTTCCATTGAACTTTCTCTTAAGAGAATGGATAAGATCTTGAAAGGATCATGAGCTAGTGTCATCATAACAAAATCCTTGTCCACATATCTGGGTCAATTTCTTTTTGAAAATCAACGTGCCCAAGGACAAGTGAATATGATACAAGCACAAGTGAGTATGATACAACCACTTGCCTAAGGATAAGTGAATATGATACAACCACTTGCCCAAGGATAAGTGAATATGATACAACCACTTGCCTAAGGATAAGTGAATATGATACAACCACTTGCCTAAGGATAAGTGAATATGATACAACCACTTGCCTAAGGATAAGTGAGTATGATACAACCACTTGCCTAAGGATAAGTGAATATGATACAACCACTTGCCCAAGGATAAGTGAATATGATACAACCACTTGCCTAAGGATAAGTGAGTATGATACAACCACTTGCCTAAGGATAAGTGAATATGATACAACCACTTGCCCAATGATAAGTGAGTATGATACAACCACTTGCCTAAGGATAAGTGAATATGATACAACCACTTGCCTAAGGATAAGTGAATATGATACAACCACTTGCCTAAGGATAAGTGAGTATGATACAACCACTTGCCTAAGGATAAGTGAATATGATACAACCACTTGCCCAAGGATAAGTGAATATGATACAACCACTTGCCTAAGGATAAGTGAGTATGATACAACCACTTGCCCAAGGATAAGTGAATATGATACAACCACTTGCCCAAGGATAAGTGAATATGATACAACCACTTGCCCAAGGATAAGTGAATATGATACAACCACTTGCCCAAGGATAAGTGAATATGATACAACCACTTGCCCAAGGATAAGTGAATATGATACAACCACTTGCCTAAGGATAAGTGAGTATGATACAACCACTTGCCTAAGGATGAGTGAATATGATACAACCACTTGCCCAAGGATAAGTGAATATGATACAACCACTTGCCCAAGGATCAGTGAATATGATACAACCACTTGCCCAAGGATAAGTGAATATGATACAACCACTTGCCCAAGGATAAGTGAATATGATACAACCACTTGCCCAAGGATAAGTGAATATGATACAACCACTTGCCCAAGGATAAGTGAATATGATACAACCACTTGCCCAAGGATCAGTGAATATGATACAACCACTTGCCCAAGGATCAGTGAATATGATACAACCACTTGCCCAATGATCAGTGAATATGATACAACCACAAGTGAATATGACACAACCACAAGTGAATTTGACACAACCACAAGTGAATATGATACAACCAAAGTGAATATGATACAACCACAAGTGAATATGATACAAAACACAAGTGAATATGATACAACCACAAGTGAATATGACACAACCACAAGTGAATATGACACAACCACAAGTTAAAATGATGAAACCACAAGTTAAAATGATGAAACCACAAGTGAATATGACACAACCACAAGTGAATATGACACAACCACAAGTGAATATGATACAACCACAAGTGAATATGACACAACCACAAGGGAATATGACACAACCACAAGTGAATATGATACAACAACACGTGAATATGACACAACCACAAGTGAATATGATACAACCACAAGTGAATATGACACAACCACAAGTTAAAATGATGCAACCACAAGTGAATATGATACAACCACAAGTGAATATGACACAACCACAAGGCAATATGACACAACCACAAGTGAATATGACACATCCACAAGGCAATATGACACAACCACAAGTGAATATGACACAACCACAAGTGAATATGACACAACCGCAAGTGAATATGACACAACCACAAGTGAATATGATACAACCAAGCTTCATTTCCATGAATTAATGGCAGTAATCTGATCATGGCTGCTGTAAAAAGCGGTGAGCTGGTGCCATCTGCTGATCAGTTCATACATGATTATTGGCGAAAGTAATGTATACAATATTGAATGAAGCTTTGAATAAAATTAAACACTTACAGCCAAATTTATACGCTGAAATCTCGATATAACCAAATAGTGTAATAACAGGAATAACTTGCCTACTTCAGAACAGATTTGTTGATCTCAGAAATTATCCACTTTCCTATGAACAACTAATGACAGCAAATTTTGATTGAACCACTGTGAACCGCTGTGCCCACATGGCAAATAACAGGATAGTTATACAAGCACAACAAATGTTACACCCAAAGAGGAGTCACATCTGACACACTTCAAAATCTGATTCCATCACATACAAAGACGACCCATGAAGATCCGGGGTAGAATAGGTCTTCAGCAACCCGTGCTTGCCGTAAAAGGCGACTATGCTTGTCGTAAGAGGTGACTAACGGGATCCGGTGGTCAGTCTCACTGACTTGGTTGAGGCATCTGATTGATCCCAATTTTTTTTATCTATGCTCATGATATTAATCACTGGATTGTCTGGTCCCAACTCAATTATTTACAGACCACGGTCATATAGTTAGGATATCACTGAGTGAGGTGTTAAACAACAAACCAACCAACCAACCAACATACAAAGACTTATCTTCAAAAGTACAATTTGACAAGGTGATCTTACGCATGTAAAAAATGTCAAAGCCTCCTGTTTTTAATACAAAACAAATAATTCAATGCATGGATGCTTTTTCATCAAAGCAATTTGATCTCAAAATATTTTCCTTACCAGAAATATTTCAATTATTGCTATAGTTAACCAATTACAGTATTTACATGATTAATGTGATTAAAGCAGTTTGTTGTTACTGACCGTCTCCAACATTGTGAGCTTCTGCTCCAGCACATCCCCCACATCTCCATTGTGTGCCTCCTCTATAATCACCTCCTTGAGGTCCCCATCCTCTGCAACAGGAGAAACAACCTGATAAACTGGAAGAACACAAGGAAGGCTGCATGACCAAAGGGAGGCAACTGTTCAGAGTCTGACCACCTGGTGAACTTCAGACAAATCTACACAATTACCTCCCTTTAACTCTCATGTTTGTTTTCAGAAACTATTGCGATACAAACAACACAAAGTGAAAGACAAAATACATTTTCCAGTGTTTTCTGGAACTAACTATTTCTTTACAACATATCTGAGCCCACTGGTCACAGTTATCAAGAAGTCAATACCTACCAAATTGTGAACTGCCTCTCAGAGTGGACTAGAGAACGTGTTGACATTTTAACACTTCTTACCAGGGCTAGAAACTAACAGCTTTTGGCCACTAGTCCTTATAATGATAACATATAGCAAACCCCTTAAAATGGGCCAATTTCTACTAGTCCTTAGGATACCTTTACCATTGGGCAGTTTGGTAAGGACTACAAGACTAGTGCCAATTTCTAACGCTGCTTACCTATATTTCTTGTTCATACTGAAACAATTAGCTTTAAAAATATAACATTCATAAATCATTCATAATATAATCAAGTATTTTCCATGTATTGCTATGTCAATCAACAAACAGGGAAAACATTTTAATAGTAAGGATGTATTAATGATAATAAGCAAATGTACAGGCAAAATGACAAGTGTCATTAAAATACTCACATCTTGATCACACAAACAAATGAGAACACTAAATGTCACAGCAATGTAACCAGTAAACAGCAAATCAACAAGTATCATGGCTACACTATTTGTCCTGTCCAAATGCCAAAGTATACACCTACCTATTTCCATGTCAGTTTAATATACATGTACCATGTCTTTACCCAAGTACCAGTCTCCTCCACAAGATTGACCTAATGTAAGATTAAACAGAAGCAGTCCCTCCTCACCTATCCCGTTGCTGTGCTGAGTGTCGCCGTTGAGGTGGGGCAGGTCATCCCTGTAGGCGCACATATACAGCACATTCTCCACGTAGTACACCTCCCTGTAACACCAGACACACACCTTACTGTGGGGAAGCTGCCTATGTACTGTACCTAGTGAAATGTGTGATTATGTATATGTGTGTCACAATACTAAATGTATTAGAATTGGATCATTAAATTTGCTAAAGTACATCAAAAGTCAATTAGAATGAAATATTAAATGTTTTAAATGCTTGTTAATTAAAATCATTGTGAACTGATGTGATGAACTCATGTATAAAACTGTGCAGATAGACCCATAAGAGAGGTGATCAACTCTACACAATGGTAGAGATACACTATGCTCAAAATACCAGGCACCTTAGACCTACCGGTGATTTCAAAATACCATTAACTGAATAAAAACATTCACCTGATTAAACACACAACTTTGGACTATTATCTTATTAGCAGAACCAAGCAAGCAAAGAAAGAAAAGACCATCATCTGCCATTCGTGACCAAGTCTTGTTATTCCGGGACAACCCGAATAGCGACTCGTGCCCCTCTCATGGCCATTTTTGCGACCGGGTTCCATCTTAGCGGAAACGGGCATACCTAAAACAATTTTCAACTCATTGTGTGATGGTTCACATATATTTCCCCATATATTATAAATATTTCAGATGCAATTTAAAGCACATCTGGACATGCGGAATTATACAGTATGATTGAACACATTTAACTGTGTCTTGAGTATATATTTAGATGCAAGACATAAGTAAAATAAAAAAATATGTCTGAGGGATTCTTTGACGAAGAACTTGAAATCATACACGCGTTCTGATTGATTTGTCGTATTTTCACACAAAACATTCATCAATAGGGGGATGAGTCTTCTTGCAGGTTACGGAAAGAGGCGAGCGGTGACGAATGCATCATCTGCTTGGAAATCACCTCCATATTTGGACTTATGTGAGACATACTCTCAAACCAGATGGTCCTAGGACCGAAACAACATCCCGAGGGTATATCAGCCATTGATTAGAAACTAGTGAATTTAGTGTGATGACTAAGTCACAAATTGACATGGAATAAATACACTAGGCCTGGTAGAAGGCTAAATTTACTACCCAGGTTTCTGACCCGCTGTTACTTGACCCTACCTGGGTACCCGGTGTAGGTCTCAAGATTTGGCTACAAAATGTCTGTTTGGGAACTGTTTTACTGCATACCTAGTAAAAAAGTTTAATATATATGTATGAAACAATCATATAGTGCACACCCTAAAGTTGACTGAAGTTTTATCTTTTACTTACACATATAAGTCAGATAGTATGCATGCATAGTGAGAAAGAAATGTGAACATGAGCGATTTGTGGTGTAAGATGGAGTTTTATTGTTGTTTTGTTATTAACAATATATCGCATGACTAACCACGGGTCTGGGTTGTCTGCACCTACCTGACCACCCCGAGGTACCTTTAACAGGCACACAGACTATCTACCTGACCACCCCGAGTTACCTGTAAACAGACACACAGACTACCTACCTGACCACCCCAAGATATCTGTAAACAGACGCACAGACTATCTACCTGACCACCCCGAGATGCCTGTAAACAGACACACAGACTATCTACCTGACCACCCCGAGATACCTGTAAACAGACACACAGACTATCTACCTGACCACCCCGAGTTACCTGTAAACAGACACACAGACTACCTACCTGACAACCCCAAGATATCTGTAAACAGACGCACAGACCATCTACCTGACCACCCCGAGATACCTGTAAACAGACACACCGACTACCTACCTGACCACCCCGAGTTACCTGTAAACAGACACACAGACTGTGTATTGTTGGTCAGCACCTACCTGACCACCTCGAGTTACCTGTAAACAGACACACAGACTATCTACCTGACCACCCCGAGATACCTGTAAACAGACACACAGACTATCTACCTGACCACCCTGAGATACCTGTAAACAGACACACAGACTATCTACCTGACCACCCTGAGATACCTGTAAACAGACACACAGACTGTGTATTGTTGGTCAGCACCTACCTGACCACCTCGAGATACCTGTAAACAGACACACAGACTACCTACCTGACAACCCCAAGATATCTGTAAACAGACGCACAGACCATCTACCTGACCACCCCGAGATACCTGAAAACAGACACACAGACTATCTACCTGACCACCCCAATTACCTGTAAACAGACACACCGACTACCTACCTGACCACCCCGAGTTACCTGTAAACAGACACACAGACTGTGTATTGTTGGTCAGCACCTACCTGACCACCCCGAGTTACCTGTAAACAGACACACAGACCGTGTATTGTTGGTCAGCACCTACCTGACCACCCACGAGGTACCTGTAAACAGACACACAGACTGTGTATTGTTGGTCAGCACCTACCTGACCAGGGTGTCCAGGTCTGTGTCACTCAGGTTGTTCAACGACACTTTAGTCTCGGCAGGATTTTGCAGTTCCGGGAATATAGAACCAACCCTAAAATAAAGATGGTTGACTGACTACTTACACTCCAGATATCAGCTATGACTTAAGAACATGAATTCTACCAAACAATCCAGCCTATCCCGTACACTCAACTCAACAAACCAGGTACTTCACAGGCAGATATTGGTCACTGAAACACTGAAACCAGTAGTAGTGTTGTCCCATGGATTTATAGTTGTCATTCATTTGTATTCTGACCAACCATCAAATGTATGCAGTGTCTCAATTGCAAATTTATTTTGAAAGTTCTGCACTATATCATTTGTAATAGTTACTTTTTAAATACACTGTAAATAAAATTAATGTATTGCAAAAAGAGTTTTCACTGTGTTTCACAACAAGAGATAAAGGCTAAAACTATGAATAGTTTAGTAATACATATTGAAAACCTGATTTTACGTTGATCTGTAACCTGTGTTTTCATCATCATGATTAACAAAGGAAGTACGACTGAACATCAATAAATGGCTTTTGTAGAAGACCTTGATTATTTCTGAAATTATGCAGGGACCATAGGTTCTCTGACAGATGTGACCTTTCGTCTTCAGAACCTTTCAGTAATTATTCAGTATTCATTAAATGAACAAAATGGGTCAGAAACATATTTTCCAGAGGTAGATTTTGGTGTGTGTTTTTATAGAGTGAGAGTATATGTTTACAATTCCTTTATGGTTTTCTCATTGCCAATTATGGGTATGGTGTTACCATAGCTACGAACGCACCTTGTCAGGAAGACACCCCTGTGTGCTTGGATGTGCTTGCTTCCGTTGGTCACTGTCAAGTCTGTGTGGATTTCTTCACTTAGCATGCTGAAAGTAAATCAAAGTGTTCAGTAAGGCAACATAACATAGGTAGATACTCATATTTTCATCAAGTCTCGTTGAAACTCCTTGACTCTAAATATTTCAGAGAAGGTTCAAAGGGAAAAGCTAGCTGAAGACACATGTTTGTAGTGGCTATACGTAGTAGCTTGAAACGCTCATTACAACACATTTTGAAGTATCTGACAGACAAAAACACTTGGGGGGCATTAAATGAGTAGTAAATAATTTATTTTAGCAAGTGTATCGTCTTGCATCGATACAGTAAAAAATGTATCATGTATCGTATTGTGGCATGAAGACTCACGATGCACCATGCACTGATGTATCGTTTCACACCTTGTAGGAACACACCTGACAGTACAACAAGTTTCGATATCAAGTGCCACTTTAAGATGGCAATTGTTCAACATGAAAACATCTTCTGGTCCATACTTCTTTCAAAAACTGTTGTCTGCATCTGACATTAGTATTGGTCTTCACCAATATTACGCTTTAAGAACAGACATTATTTATTTATCTAAAACCAACGACAATATTGTCATGCCAAAGATCACACAAACTTCATATCAAGTTGTGGAAATGACAAACTTGCCCGACCCAAAGGCTGTCTGACATATAGAATATTGCATTCGAGTCCAAATTGAAGATTTTCAAGAAACTAAAATAAAATATCACCACACCTGTATAAAGACAGGATATGTTGTAATACATTTATTCCCCTCACTACATTTTCAGAAACTTCCTATTCACAGGATCAGTAATGTGTGCAAGAATTACTATGTGTGATCAGTAAAGCAACTTGACACTTCAGTCCAGACCAAGGCTTAACGCTGATGTCACCGAGCTAAAACTCAAGATGGTGCCTATAAAATATTGAACCAGCAGCCTTCACCTTTGGACAAGCAGATTTAACGGTTTTCTTCACAGGGGGAAAATGAAAATTGGTTTTCATATCAACACTAGTAACAATCCAAAGATAATCTAATCATATACAAGATATAAGATTTGTTAACCATAAAATTAGACAAAGTGTGGCCAAATAATTATGATAAACATGGAAATGAAATGGATGCCTGGACTACATAAAAACAAACAAGAAGCATAAAAACTTGAAGACCTGACACACTGGAGTTATTTACGTCCACTGACAAGCTTGAAGCCGATCAACAATGGTCAGCAATGGTCAGCAACGGTCAACGATAGTCACCAATGGTCGCCAATGGTCACAATGGTCACCAATGGTCGCCAATGGTCACAATGATCGCCAATGGTCACAATGATCACCAATGGTCGCCAATGGTCACAATGGTCGCCAAAGGTCGCCAATGGTCACAATGATCACCCATGGTCGCCAATGGTCACAATGATCACCAATGGTCACAATGATTGCCGATGGTCACAATGGTCACCAATGGTCGCCAATGGTCACAATGGTCACCAATTGTCAACAATGGTCGCCAATGGTCACAATGGTCACCAATTGTCAACAATGGTCGCCAATGGTCGCCAATGGTCGCCAATGGTCACAATGGTCACCAATGGTCAACAGTGGTCACCAACTGTCAACATGTCATTCATTGAAAGATCTCCGATGTCATCCATTCAAGATCGACATAAAATTTACCATAAAACATCATCCCGCAGCTGTTGTGCTAATTTGGCCTTGACACGATCTTTTTCTTTGATACATTTATCTAGAAATGCAGCGCTCTGATAGCCAGTGGCCATCCTTGAAGCCTGTTCCTTGGGGCGGGCCATGGTGAAGCTGACGGTGGGAGAGCTGGTTTCCTGGCATAGGTTGTCCTCATCAGCCCTGGAAATAACACAGTGAACAACGTTACTTGAAAGTACCACCACTACCATGACATACAATCAAGTCACTGAGTGTCACCACCCCATCCGTGTTGTCGCCTCTTACAACCAGAGAAGGTTGCTGGGGACCAAACCCGGAATCCCCAAGGGATTCAGCGTGCAAAGTATAACAACAAATAAATACTGCATTTTACATGATCAAGATAAAGCATGGACATGTTGGTTGGTTGGTTGTTTAACGCCGCACTCAGCAATATTCCAGCTATATCACGGCGGTCTGTAAATAATTGAGTCTGGACCAGACAATCCAGTGATTGATATCAGTTGGGATCGCTGACATGCATCAACCAAGTCAGCGAGCCTGACCACCCGATCCCATTAGTCACCTTTTACGGCAAGCATGGGTTGCTGAAGACCTATTGTACCCCGGGTCTTCACTGGTGCATGGACATGTAACAGAAGTCATATGGCACTTACATCTCAAAGTATTACCACGTGCAACATGTGCAACAAAGGTAACTTATAACATGTGTAAGTCAAACGAATTATTTATAGTTTGTTCTACGACATGTTACATAACAACACTGATGATAACCACTCCTGCATTGTCCTGTTGGTCTAAAATTGGTAACCATGGTAACTGCTGTATTTGTTTCTTCACTTGCATTCGGCAATAATATCATGAATATAGCTAAATCACCTGTAGCCTGTATATGATCAAGTGTGGACCAGACAAACCTGTTTTGAAAAGAATATCATGCGAAATAACCCCCAATGTTGGGGTACAATGACACTTGGAATTCCTGAACCAAACCATAGGACATATACTGGTAGCTGTATAGTCAAGTCTTACCTGTATTCAGGGCACCTACAAGACAGTATCAATAAAACTACCATTTACCATAAGCAGAATAACTGGACAAAAGAAATGTGGACATTTTGTGATGCTAATTCTGACAAATTTGACTCTATATCATAGCCAGCAGAGAGGCTTGGCATTGTCTAACTGCTGGTAGGATGTGCTGGTAGGATAGGAGCATTTGATGACAAGAACCTTGTTTACGAGAGCTGGGACAAGTCCAAATTAAATACACAGGTACTCGACCCCTATTATCCAACCCTACCTGGGTACCCCCTGTAGGTCTCAAGAGTTAGGTACAAAATACCCAATTTGGAATTGTTTTACCAGACCCCTCACAAAAAGTATTTAGATACACTTATAAAACATATAAAAGTCAGAAGAAATGTGTTTACAGTCAGAAAGATATGCGAACATTAGTGACTTGTAGGTAACCATGGAGTTGTAGTAGTGAATTGTTCTCATTAAACAATATATCACATGACTAACCATGGGTTCGAGTAGTCCTGTGCGTACCCGGGTCCTACTCAGTACCCACCTGACCCGAGTACCAAAGTTAGCCGTCCCAGCCCTATTAGTTTATATTGTCTACATCCTCAAGTATGACAACAGCATAACCTTAAGGCATATTTTGTGAAGACTTTTACAGTGAGTGAGTGAGTGAGTGAGTTTAACGCCGCTTTTAACAGTATTCCAGTTATATCACAGCGTGTCAGCTTAATGTGGGAGGAAAGCCCGAAGTGATGCAGGTCTCAGACGTTTACCACTTGGGTGAAACCCACGAGCGCGGGTATGGTGCTGACAAACCTGGAAACATAATCGAACCCACAATCATAGGTTTCTGGAGTGTCCAGGGGACGCAACTCTGCACAGCGAATCGCGGTTCCTTAGACGACTGGGCCACCTGTGCCCCCACTTTTACAGTGAGTGCATGACAGAATTAGTATGGTTTAATTGGTCTCACGTTTATTCCTGCAATATAATGGCAGGGGACACCCATGTGGGGAATCAAACTCAGGACGTTATCATGACAATCAAGTGATGACTCGGACTAGTGATGACCATAGCAACATGACAACCTAACAGCAGAGAGCATAGCAAGATGACAACCTAACAGCAGAGACCATAACAACATGACAACCTAACAGCAGAGACCATAGCAACATGACAACCCAACAGCAGAGACCATAGCAACATGACAACCTAACAGCAGAGACCATAACAACATGACAACCCAACAGCAGAGACCATAACAACATGACAACCCAACAGCAGAGACCATAGCAACATGACAACCCAACAGCAGAGACCATAGCAACATGACAACCTAACAGCAGAGACCATAACAACATGACAACCTAACAGCAGAGACCATAACAACATGACAACCTAACAGCAGAGGCCATAGCAACATGACAACCTAACAGCAGAGACCATAGCAACATGACAACCTAACAGCAGAGACCATAGCAACATGACAACCTAACAGCAGAGACCATAGCAACATGACAACCTAACAGCAGAGACCATAGCAACATGACAACCTAACAGCAGAGACCATAACAACATGACAACCCAACAGCAGAGACCATAACAACATGACAACCCAACAGCAGAGACCATAGCAACATGACAACCCAACAGCAGAGAGCATAGCAAGATGACAACCTAACAGCAGAGACCATAACAACATGACAACCTAACAGCAGAGACCATAACAACATGACAACCTAACAGCAGAGAGCATAGCAACATGACAACCTAACAGCAGAGACCATAGCAACATGACAACCTAACAGCAGAGACCATAGCAACATGACAACCCAACAGCAGAGACCATAGCAACATGACAACCCAACAGCAGAGAGCATAGCAAGATGACAACCTAACAGCAGAGACCATAACAACATGACAACCCAACAGCAGAGACCATAGCAACATCATATATTTATAGTTAAATTACTATACAGATGACATAACATGCATTTTGTCTGTGATTATGGTCCGAAGATATCTATTGAAACTTTCTACAAAGCTTTTAATTTTTATTGATATCAAAATTATTTTTGTAAGGTTTAACATACCTATTAACTTTGTTTCAGTAAGCCCTCTATCACAGCTTGCTGAAGAAAACTACAGTGAGTGAGTGAGTAAGTATGTTTTTATGCTGCTTTTAGCAATATTCCAGCAATATTACGGCAGGGGAAACCGGGAATGGGCTTCACACATTGTACCCATGTCGGGAATCGAAACCCGGGACTTCAGCATAACGAGCGAAAACTTTAATCACTAGGCTACCTTACCACTAGGAAGACAACTACATATTTTGACGATGACTGTATTTGTTATCTTCTGTAGATTTGGAATATATTAATCCCGACTAAATTTAATTTAGTTTTTGTTTTATACCATGTAGGTATAAATTATCTACATGGTAATGTAGACAACAATGAAATCATCATACAAAAATAAAAATTCATAATACGAAAATATATGTATTATGAAATTATCATTTGCTTTGTAAATGCCAAGAAAAAAGGAGGTGTATGTCTGCAGTCATCGGAAAGGTTACTCTAAGAGAAGTTTGAGACAACCAGAAGGTGTCATTCATTAAAATGTATAGATGGTCTATTGACTTTTTCTATAATAAATACATTTACATATATCAGAGTTTGATGTTTTGTTTCGTTTTAATATTCACATTATTAATAGAAATATGCCTTGTCCCAGGTTAAAGCTTAAAGTTTGTATTTGATTGATCAGGAATAAATAGAAAACTGTGGTAAAACAATTTAGAAAACTACAAACGTTACCATAGGCTAGGTCTAGGACGAGTCCAAATTTACTACCCGGGTACCCATCCCCCTATTACCTGACCCTATCCGGGTACCCACTGTAGGTCTCAAGAGATACAAAATGTCCGATTGGGAATTTTGTTTTACCACAGCACTTGCAAAACGTATTTAGATACATGTATTAAACAATCTGGTCATGCATACACTGAAGTTATATCTTTATTCAACCATATGAAAAGTCAGAAGGAATGGGTGCATAGACAGAAAGAAATGTGAAAATTAGTGACTTGTAGTGAAACCATAGAGTTCTAGATAATTTTTGTCATTAAACTATATATCACATGACTAACCACGGGTCTGGGTAGTCCTGTGGGTACCCGGGTCCTACTCAGTACACACCCGACCCCGGTACCCGAGTTACCCGTCCCAGCCCTAGTACAGGCTCAGTATATATACACATATCTGGTACCATTCTTGTTGAAGCTGTACTGTTATACCTGAAAGAACTAATTATTTGTATGCTGAAATATTCATATTAATCAGGTCATATTGAATAATGATTGTAAAATTACAATCATCCTCTTTGCTTTAGATTTTAAGAGTAGCCTCCCTTTGAATAATATCTCTGGCTCTGGCAAATCGCATTATCACTGCTAGCCCCAAACTGGCATTAACAAATAACATTTGATTACTTGCGAAACGCATTCTCGATCACATCTAGAATTCATTTTACAACACTTGTAGTTTAATGTGAAACTTTATTTCATTGGAACTATTAGCATTATAATATAATAGCGAATTTAAATGAAATAAAGACAAGATGCATTGATTAACATAGTGTCATTTTACACCTGAGAGTGGCCATGCATATTTGCATGTAAATCTAGCTGGATTTATTACATGATATGAAGATAATCTGGAGATATATTTTAAGAACATCGGGAATATGGTGAACTGTTGCACCTATCTTGCTTGCGTCTGGATGAAATTTTTTTACACTGTAAGTTACAGTTTCTGAGTTCCTGTGCAATTTACAGTTTCATATTTTTGGGGGGCGTGGGTTTTGTAACTTCGCTTATACAATTGCAGCATAACACAAGATATATATATACTGATTTTTTAAAAATAGAATAAATTTTATATACTGACGGTAAATATATAGAACTTCAGTTTCAACGCAAAAGAAAACATTTTTTATCGAAAACACCGCGTGCATGTTATCCTAAGATTGATAAACGACACTGAGATAACATCCTTATTGATGAGATTGACAGTTACTGAATATTTATACTAAAAACATGCAACCGACATACTGTACTCAGCCTCAGAATAACATCTCCAAAGACAAGTCACGTGCACCACCTCAACCCATCCCCAATCAGAACCCTCTTAAAATATGTCACTTACGATCGAAAAACACCTAACCTTTTCACTTTGCATTTTCTTTTTCAATGATTTGTATTTAATTTTTTTCTAACATGTATTTCCAAATTTTATTTGTCGACTGTCCTAGTACTGCCTTCCCACATAATTTCTCTGAGGACACAGCTTAATAGCATTATTTTTAAAATTTTCACGCCAAACGTTCCCATGTTGGTGGGGTCGATTCACTAGAAGTCATCAAAAACAGAAAAACAGACCAGAAACTAGTCATGTGGAAGTTATAAGCTTATCATCAGAAACTGTGATGCATTGCCAAAACACAACAAAATGTGTGGGCGGCATAGTCACGTGGGAAAACATGTACTCTACCTGAGTGTTACCAGTAGCAGACAAATCTTTGCTGATGTCAGGGAGGAAGAGGAAGAAGCCTGTGTATAAATTATGCGCATCAGTACATTTGTTCATCATGTTCATTGTGTAATATTTTTTTAATTTGACGTTTACGCGATATACGGCTTTTCCATTGGACAAGAGGTCGGTCACATGACCGCGAAATTGACGTTCATAAGTGTATGAACGACACAATTTGACGTTCATACGTTTTTCATGAGACCGTGTTCTTGAAATGACGTAAACACTGACGGACTACTTCCACATTCCTGGGGAAACCCCTGGTAAATTCCCTAGCACGAAAACATTCATAAGCATTATTTCTGATCATTTAGAACCTTTAATCTTGGTCTCAGCATTTCAGTATACATTGAGAAACGTAAGAGAGCTTGACTGCATGATTGTTCACGAATTTCCTCGCTACGGCCCATCCTAATGAACAAACGAAAAGTTGCACATCCAAATTATCGTCAGTATCGACTCGATCTGTGTCTAGGCTGACAGTGACCGTCTCCAGCAATCTACGAAATTTACCTTGGTGTCTGTTTGACGCATCTTTAATCACCTTTCAATAATCGGTCAGTTGATCAATGATGACTAGCCTAACACATGTAACCGCCACAGGTTCATTAACAACTTCGGAAATCCTCCCGTCACGTTTATCGTGTCGGCCATTTTGATGTCTTGTACTTGTAAATGTATTACGACGCGCTGTCATTGTGACTGACTTACTGAGGTAGTTCTTTACAGACCTTTCTCATCTAATGGTGATATTATTTGAACGCATGTGTTGCGTAAGATGTTTCTGAAGAGCAAGTTGTGCATCCATACGCTCATGTCACCTCTCTTTTTGGGGAACTATTTTATTTTCGCGATATAGCTGGTTGTTGTTTGGCTGTCAGTGTAAACTTGAAGTCACACGTACTTAATAAAATTGTGTTTAGATCTTGGCCTACATCCTTTGAGGTAAGAAATTGTGATAAAAAAATTATAAGAATTGACTTTCACTTTGTGTGAGTTCATTGGAGTGCAAGCTCCGACGTTCATACAGTTTGGCCCTCACTCTATGAAGGTTCATACTCCAATGAACTCACACAAAGTGAAGGTCAATTCTTAACACATGTTAATTTGCTGGGTGTCCGGGTACTGCCACTGTCCGAATACTGCCGAACCTGCTCTAATACTTTTGATATCGGCTTGTTTATGCTTATTATTCACATGACAACGAAAACCTACAATCGTAGACAGTCGTCAAATTTTTTTTCAATCATTTTCTTTGATTGAAACTTTTTTGGAGATATTACTGATGGTTAGGCAGTGAGTGAGTGAGTGAGTGAGTGTGGTTTTACGCCGCTTTTAGCAATATTCCAGCAATATCACGGCGGGGGACACCAGAAATGGGCTTCACACATTGTGCCCATGTCGGGAATCGAACCCGGGTCTTCGGCGTGATGAGCTAACGCTTTAACCACTAGGCTACCCGACCACCCCGATGATGGTTAGGCAGAGGTAATATCAATGTCATACTCTCCAGACCAAGAGTTATCCAAAACCCACCCCTGGTTGTAGTGTGTTAATTCTCCATGTAAAATAATGAGGTCCAAGACGAAATTGTCCTGGGGAATGAAGTCATTCATGGCTGTGTTGAATGTAAATTGAAAAAAATGTCCTGGGCTTATAAGGACACGTTATTTGCAGACCACACACATGTTCAGCGAATAATTTGCAACCAACTGTGCAACCATGTGCTAATGAGTGATAAGATATAAATTATTGTAATCCGCTAAGAGCCGTCCTTTTATTAGATTGTCGTGGGTCGCAGTCAGAAAAATCTTGGCTAAGGGAATTATGTAATATTGTTTACGTGGTTACCAGAATGGTCAGTTGGTAATGTCAACGCATCTATTGTGTATCTGCAGCAGTACAGGGAGGTTAACAGCAGGGTGTCATGCCAGGCCGTAGCACTGATGGTTTATGATAAACAAGAGACCATATACTGACGGTATAGTCTCTGGATAAACTGTTGGGGAGGGCTATCCCTCTATCATAATTTTCTGTCTCTGCTAATAGCCACTTTATGATGCTGTTCTTTTTTTCTGGATTTAGCCGCAAGCATTTTTAATTGAAATGGGGAAAAACAGAAATAAAACCTACAGGTAATCATTAAGTTTTTGATGTATCGATAATATCAAATGACATGAGGTCAGCAGCTGTCATACACGATTTCAAACAGTTTTGTCCTTTGAGCGTTTTGTACATAACTCTCACCAACTTGCAACATGTGTGAGCATAGGGCAGGTTTGTGAACACCGAGATTTGTTGATGGCGATGCAGTGCTTGACATCTAGCCTACGTTGTCCTGGCGCTGGTGCGAAGTACGATACGCTGCCGAAAGCAAGCAAGCGCACATTGCATTTACCGAGCACAACACCCAGTGGGATGCAACTATACATAAGCATATACTGTGATGCATTCCTCATGCGCCTTAATCCAAAACAGGATGAATCAAATTTATACACGCCTTACCTTTCTTCTCAACCAGTCACTAGATTTTGCTCGCATTTATTTTGTTTTTAGTCATGACGGAACATAATCGAAGGGAAACAACTCTGGATCTATCGATATACTGCAGACCACAACTAAGCATAGTTGAGCGAGAGTTGCCATCCCCTAGACTAACATCTAGTCTCTGAAATTGAACATATCGTACAGAAAAAAACAGATGTAAAATTATCTTAATAATAATTTAATTAAGAGAAGCCCAGAGACTCTCTTCTTGTTTAGATGATACTGCAGTAATCTACACTTGCGAAACATTATAGACTTGCATGGGCTTAATTTGATATATTTGTATCAGGGTCTGTCAGGCAGACTAACCAACCCCCTTTCGATACGCGGGCACCGGGGGTCTATTTACGGAATATAAATTATTAAATAACGGGGTTGGGTGTGAGACTGGCCTTAAGGACTGTATCGTGATTTGCCCCGTGATTTGTCATCGTTAACTATCCATTCACCATTCTGTTGTTGTTTTTTCGCTCATAAACGCATAGAATATTAATAATCAACTACGGACCATAACCAGTCATTTATATTATGAGTATCTTCCCACTTCGACGAAGTACGATGACAGTCAGTCAACAACATCATCGAGTCTGACCACCCGATCCATTTTGTCAACACAGAATCTAATCATATATAAGTCATCTAGGTATAAAAACAATATATATATATACAACTGTAAAAAAGAATAAAGTCCACGTTAGTCCATCATCTTCTTTATATCAGTTTCATACATAGTACTTTCGCTGTCTCATGTATATGTCAGTTACACTGAAGAGCTGTCAGGAGACAGCGAAAGTACACCGAGTGAACATTTACCTCATTTTTGTGTGTATATGCATTGTTGTAAATTGTTGTAAATTGTTGTAAATTGTAAATAATAGGCCCTGTTGCCATGTAACTTAGACATAATTTGTATGATCTTCATATGCCAAAATCTTTGGCAAAAGAAAGTAAATAAAGTTATCTGTCTGTCTGTCTGTCGCGTCGGTCGACAAGCATGTGCTGCATTGTCTGTGTAATGTGATCTGTTTAATAAGCAATAACAGTATGGGTTCAATGTAATATTCTTTAAACTTTAAGGTACATTGTTATGATATTTTTTTTTTTTTTATACAAAACATCAAGGCACGATAAAGCACTTTCTGACATATATTTGACACTGTCTCTAAACAAGTTATTGAATAAATATTAGAACCAAATATTATTAAATGGATAAAGATTTTGACTGATAAAGCATCAGCATCTGTTATACAAAATGGGCATCTTTCATTTTTTTTATGTTAGAAAGGGGAGACCCGGTATCTCCCTCTATATTAGGTGCATTCTGTTAGAATGGGGATAATTCTAACAGAAAGGGCATTGCACTAAATAACATAGAACACAAATCAGGAAAATATGCTGACAATACGCAGCTCTATTAGATGGATCTAAAACAGACTAAATACCGCCATAGAAACACTAAATAATTTCTACAACATGTCTGGCCTTAAATATATGTAGATGAGACTAAAGCAGCCTGGATAGCTGCATTGTTTGGAAGTATTAGAACTTTTTGCAATGGTATGAAGCTAGCATGATACAAAGGAGATTTTGAAGTCCTAGGTATTAGACTAAGTTCTTCTTTAAAAGACTTCTGGGTCATCAATACAAGCAAACGACTAGATATTATAAACAATGGACGTAGAAGAAATTTAACACTAATAGGAAAAAATTACAGTTATTAAAACTTTGTCCGTCTCTTCTCTGGTACATATTTTCTCTGCACTTCATAACCCGTGAACACATTTATATATGAAATCAACACAAGTTTTGTTATAAATTTAATTGGAATGACAAACAAGATTCATAGAAAGAAGAAATGTCGATGATACAGTCGATGACACATTCAAACGATATTTAAAAAAGAATACAAGTAGCAATACCATCTTTCCCACACACGACACATATTCTCAGCTGCTTCTAATATTGATGACTGCTTATCTCATATGGACAATCAGTCCGGCTGGGAGTCATGTAGGAAGCAATAGCACTGTATGTCCCCATGGTCCCGAGTAAGGTGGTCTAGCTTTAGTTGCTTGTGGTCTTTAGCCTGGTTTTATTTATATGAACTTATCAACTGAAGCATCATTTGCATCATCACTCACTCACTCACTCACTCACTCACCCATATGGACAATCCTTGTTGGAGAGACTTTTCTACTGCGCAGGCATATTTTATAGAAAACATGAGTTTGATAAGTATTATGTCATGTTTGGATTTTGTACATACAACCATGTAGTTAACCATATTCTGCTCTCAGCAAATTTTTTTTTTTATTTATCAATATTAATAATCAAAAACTGTCCTTTGATGTATTCATTAAAATCCTGAGTGATATTTGTCAAATCGAAAAATATATTGCAATCAAAATCAACAAAACGCATTGTTATAAGAAATGGAAGCAACTGACTTCAACTCTCCGTCCAGTCATGATAACAATGAAGCGTTCATAAAATAATTGATCCACTTCCATCACTATTTTTTATCATATCTTCTACCTTGATTGTAAACGTATTTGCCCGATCTATCATATTTGTTAACATATACATGGAAGTGGAATAAAATATATTTTAAAAAAAAGTTTCTGACGTATAAGACAGTTCACCAACATAGCCAAAGTTGAATATGACGTTCCGAACATAAACTTATAACCAATCATGTACACAGATTTAGGAGATAAATATACTGTGTTTTAAATGTAGAACTAAAACTGATTTAGGAGATAAATATACTGTGTTTTAAATGTAGAACTAAAACAGTTCCAGGAGATAAGTATTGTGTGTTTTAAATGTAGAACTAAAACAGATTTAGGAGCTAAATATGCTGTGTTTTAAATGTAGAACTAAAACATATTTAGGAGCTAAATATACTGTGTTTTAAATGTAGAACTAAAACATATTTAGGAGATAGATATACTGTGTTTTAAATGTAGAACTAAAACAGATTTAGGAGATAAATATTCTGTTTTAAATGTAGAACTAAAACAGTTCCAGGAGATAAATATTCTGTGTTTTAAATGTAGAACTAAAACAGATTTAGGAGATAAATATACTGTGTTTTAAATGTAGAACTAAAACAGTTCCAGGAGATAAATATTCTGTGTTTTAAATGTAGAACTAAAACAGATTTAGGAGATAAGTATTGTGTGTTTTAAATGTAGAACTAAAACAGATTTAGGAGCTAAATATACTGTGTTTTAAATGTAGAACTAAAACATATTTAGGAGATAGATATACTGTGTTTTACATGTAGAACTAAAACAGATTTAGGAGATAAATATACTGTGTTTTAAATGTAAAACAAAAAAATATTTAGGAGATAAATATACTGTGCTTTAAATGTAGAACTAAAACAGATTTAGGAGATAAATATTCTGTGTTTTAAGTTTAGAACTAAAACAGTTCCAGGAGATAAATATTCTGTGTTTTAAATGTAGAACTTAAACAGTTCCAGGAGATAAATATTCTGTGTTTTAAATGTAGAACTAAAACAGATTTAGGAGATAAGTATTCTGTGTTTTAAATGTAGAACTAAAACGAATTTGGACGCGCACAATAGGATGACCTTCGAGCAAATCTTCCAAAAGAAATTATACAGAGAGTCTTGAGAGATATTCTGTGGAAACCAAACCTACACACTTAAGCGAAGTTCTCAAAATATGAAAGGATAAACTAAAGACGCTCTCTGTTAGTTAGCCCAACATATGGTCAATAAAATGCAGCCATGTAGAAGGTTAAATAACATCATTCTACAAAAAGAACCCGCTACATTCAAGTCTCTTAATCGCAGAGCTGCAAGGGGTATGTGTATTGTCTGCTTGAACTGTGACGGGGATGAGAGTGGAATTTTGGTTAATGTTTTATCTAATATATGCTCTGTAAGATAGACTATCTGCATGTGTAGCGTCAGGACATCAGGTCAGCCTGGGGGAAATAGCATGAGGGGTGACACAAATGTTACAGTGTCGGGCACACCCCATCACGGTAACAATACATGATGTATTCACACTGAGATGTCCGGGGTATAGGGCTACTTGTAAACATTTTTACAATAAATGTCAACATAAATAAATAATATAATAAAATCGCAGATTATGTAAAATATATTCAGAGATACAGACTGTAAAGAAAATATGTATCCCTTTCTTATACAAATGCTGGAATTCAAGGTGTCTTTAAAAATATACTTGATTTTTTTCAATATAAAATCCAAGTATTAAACATATTCCTGGTAAAACAAAACTATACAAACGTGCTTCAAACAAATTGACAATGCATGCATGACCCATTTACATAAGTCCTATAGTCCAAAATTGTCATCGACATGTTTTTCTAGCCCTATGGTTTGAAATAACCGAGTTCATAACAATCGTACTTGCACTAGTGCACATATCACTTAACGCGCACCAGTGGATTGTTTAGGTCATCCGGACGGCATTGTTGACGTGATTGGTATCGCATTGTGATGGAAGAAATGACGTCACACAAGAATCGACGTCATAGCTGAAGATTGTTGACGTCATTGGACAGTGCGGTTTTCGAAGGTGGTAGTCGTGATCAGTGAATTTGTATAAAGGGGAGCTAAAAAAATCGAGACATAATATAAGGGTAACGCTATTTTTCAGGGCATTATCATTTGCAGAAGCTCGAGGTCTTCCATTAACTGCCCGACGAAGGAGGGCAGTTGAAAAGACCAAGGGCTTCTGCAAATGATAATGCCCTGAAAAATAGCGTTACCGTTATTATAGCTAAAATGGATGGAATTTTTTATCAAATAAAAAGAAACAACAATATCGGTTTTGAAACATTTACTGCAATCAACACGAATGTCACTGACCCACTTTTACAAATATGGAAACGTCATAGAACAAACCAGATGACGTCACTATTGAACGTCACGTCACCTATCACTATCCTATGACGTCACCTAACAACGGGCGTGTTAATGGCCCGTCGTCAAGTAATATGAGGGCATTATCAAGTTACAGTGGCCCG